GCTGGTTGAAATGTATTTTGGGTGTTGGTGTGGTCTGTATGTGGTGCTGTTCGGTTGATGTATATGGTTTCTTGCTTTTCTGTCTATTTTTCTGCTGGCTGTTTCTTGACGTTTCTTAGGTTGTCTTCTTGGGTGTTGGATGCGGTTGTAGTCATTGCCTGGGTGTACTCTTTTTCCTCTACTTAGGAGGTTTTTTAATGAGGCCATGGGCAATGCGTTTTTTATTCCCATGCAATAAAATTATTTTTTATTTAAAAAAGAAAAGGAAATGACATAGGATGGAGTCTTACCACCCCAAAATGGAGGCACCCCAGAAAGGAGAATGTAAATGACGACCCCAGCACTCCACACATCAGCTTCTGGACCATAACACTTTTTCAAAACCTCAGGCGCTACATAGTATGGGCTTCCAACAACAGCAGATAAGGTATCCCCTGAAATTTTAAGACCTTAACATAACAACTCATTGCTGGTTGCATAGACAGCAGCCTACCAAGAATACTTGTTCAATTTGGTAAACAACATGTGTACTGCATCCTCCTAGACATAAACATTCAACTTTTTCCTACAAGAATTTTGAAATTTCACTTGGGGTACTTTATTATATATATATTATATATATAATTGAAAATGAGTACACACTTTACCAAATGCAAGTTTACTTTTATTTCTTTTCTTTTCTAGATGAAGTTGTTGAAGAATAAAAATGTAAAGTTGTGAAACCATGCTTTTGAGATATGCGTGTATGTATATTAAGGAAAATGCATGCAGTTTCCATTCTAATTACGGTTCATGGGAATTGAAAGCAAACTGATCTTTCACAGTTTCAATGCAGAACAGCAATTGGGATGTACTGAAAAGAAAAACAAGAACATTTGTGACAAAAGAAGAAAGAATATTGAACAGACCAGGCTTGAAGAATATCGATAATCCAAAATCGATGACTTTAAGAGGTGAATCCTCCTCCTCGTTCACAAAAAGAAAATTCTCAGGCTTAAGATCCCTATGCATTACTCCCATGGAATGACAGGCTTCAACAACACCAACTATAGTCCTGGCTAATTTAGCTGCCTTTCTTTCAGAATAATGTCCTCTCTTAACAATCCTCTCAAATAGTTCTCCCCCTGAACACAAATCCATGACGACATGAACTGCCGCCTGATCTTCGTAAGCCCCTTTAATGGACACAATATTAGGGTGCCCTGTCATGTGATGCATTATCTGAATTTCCCTCCTCACATCATCAACATCAGCCACGGTTAGCAGTTTCCTTTTAGCGATCGATTTGCAAGCATACTGCTTCCCGGTACCTTTCTCGGTGCATACGAAAGTCGTCCCGAACTGTCCGTTCCCTAGCTTGGTCCCCAAGCTATAGAATTCCTTCAAGTTACCTCTTTTGGTTTGTAACACCGAGTCGATCTTGAGTCCAGCGCATGACTGCCTCTTAACATTATGGGGTCTCCTTGGTGTTTTCCTAGGCTCAACCTTAGGGTCTTCCTCTTTATTTACAGCATCATGAACCTGTAGTGCTGGTTTGGAGTCGAGTCTTTGAGGGGGAAGCTTCGATTGTTGCCTCTGGAGTTCTTCTCTGGACTTGCCTTCTTGCTCCTTTTCTATCTCTTCCTTAACAATTTTTATTTCTTCAGGGGGCTGCTGCTTGGGAGCTTCTTTCTCTTCACTCCCAGACTCAACAGCAGCTTCTTTTTCATTCCCCACATTTGCTTTTGCACCCTCATCTGATCCACTCCCCCAAATGGAATTTGAGATCGTTTGAAAGAAGCCATTTTTAAAACAATTGTTTCCCATCTGAAACTACTCCCAATTCTCACACTTTTTCTTGTGTAAACATACATCTATGAGAACAAAATCCTGAAACTTAGCCTAATGCTGCAGCCTCATCTCCCCAACAATTGACCCAAATACCAATGATTCAATGATCAATGTGATGCATCAAAGAGAATAATTATCTCAAGAAAACAATTTCATCAGAAAAAAAGGGCCTTCTATTATATTGTGCCCCCAGAAAACTTCCCATGTAAATGCAATGATCAATAATCATAGAACAAAAAGGATAAAGAAAGAAACTTTCAATAACCCAGCAGAAACAAAAGACGACACTTGACAAATTCGACGTCAAAACAATGATTTGAAATCATGAATAATGGGGAAAAATGATGAAAACGAAATAGAAGCAAGAGAAATGGAAAATGAGAAAATTGAGGTTTTTGGTTTAGAGACAGGTTTACATATATGAGATACAAAAAACAACAACAACGTACGTATTAGGGCTTTAATCAATCTGCGAAATCAAAGACGAAAAAGAACAAAGAAAAGATTGCTGGATTTTCCCCTTCTTTTTTTCCCGGGAAAGGAAATGAAGAGGAAGAGAAAATAATGAATGGCAGAGCTGTTTTGGCTTGAAATAAACTAACACTGAAGCTTTTCATTGCTTATTAGTTATTACAACGTTAGGGTTGGCTTCACATGCTGATATGGACGGCTTACGTGTTTCTGGTTATTCTGTTGGTGGTTTTTTCGGTTTTTGGTTCATTGTGGAGAAATTATTTGATGTACAGGCTCGCTTTGGTTTTTTTTTTTCTTTTTCTTTTTACGGTAAACTACACCGGATATCATTGAACTTTAGATGTTATGTCGGTTATATCACATGAAATTTTAATTTTATCAATTATAGCATTGAACTTTGGTTTTTGTTTCAATTATGCCATTGAATCGCTAGATCTTTAACGAAATGATGACGTGACTGACGGTTGCCGACATAGACAACTCACCGAAACGCCATCATTTTGATCTGACTGTTAACGATTTAACGGTCCAATGATATAACTGAAACGAAAATTAAAATCCAGTGTTATGATTGACAAAATTAAATTTCAATAGCATAGACGATACAACGATTAAAGTTTAATGGTATATGGTGTAATTTACTCTTGTTTTTTTTATTTTAGAGAACCTCCATTAAAATAAATGGTTATTTGATTCACAACTAAAAATTGTTCCTTCTTAACTCAACGGGTAAATAGTTAACATCATCATCGTTTTTATCAATGAACAAAGATAAAATGAGGACGAGGGTTTATCATTTTCTTTTATATTTATATATTTTTACTCATTAAACTTAAAAGATTAAGAATATTTTAATAGGTTGATATTATTCGAGTTAAAATAAAAAAAAATAAGTTAGAAATTCAAATAAGCAGATCAAAGTCAAAACTAATAGGTAAAGTCAACGATAAATAATTAAATGAGTCAGCTTAACAAGTTAATCGTCTAGGTTAGATAAACGAGTCAATCAAACAACTTAGATCAACAGTTTGATCAACGACTTGATTCGGTCTATAATTCGACCTAATCCAGATTGATTCAGTCTAGTTTGGTTTTGAGACAACCGGGGCAATAGAGTAGACTACAAGTACAAACCCACTGGCTTAATGGCTACATGGGTCCTGGACAATATTTGGTCACTTTCGTTTTTTTTATTAGGTGGTCACTAAAGTTAATTATTATTAGATTTTTAATAGATTACTGACATGACACACAATAAATATATAAAATTAAAAATGATAAATTGTACAAATAATTACTAATGTTACAAATTTACATTTTCCACCATGAAGTTTATCTTGACAATATTTTTTGAATAAGTATGTGTGTATTTATTCAAGAAGAAGAAAACCTGCTACGAACAAACAGACGTCCAACAAAAAAAATAGGATACCCTACAATGAGCAGCCCTAACTCTCACAAAACTCTCTATTTACACTATTCATTCCATCAATTTTCCTATCGATGAGCGTTTTAAATTGTCGCTTTTTTACTTGCTAATTCTCTTGTTTTATGAATTATTTACTATTGATTTAGGTTGTATTCGTTTATTTTATGTGTAGTGACATGTTTATTGGAATTGGCAGTAAAAAGACGCATTGTGCAACTTTTCTTATTTTCTGATCTCGGTTGGAGACATTGGCACGATGCGGGTCTGAGGTGACAATTTTTAGAATGTCCAGTCAACACGCGAAACATTTGAAAAACAGCTCAATCAGCACAATCTGAGGAGATTTTCTAGGAGACTTAAAGTTTGAATTTAAACATTTGGAGTTATCTTCCAAAATTTTAGGATTGATTTTATTTTGATTTTAATTTCCATATTATCTTAGGATTTAGAACCCTATAAATGCCCTTCTTTGGGTATGGCTTAGGGTATCTTGAATTCATCTTTGTTACTTTTGTTCTTGCTTTAATCAAAGTTTTCTTTTTCTTTCATTTTTCGCTTTCTTTACTTTACATTTTTTTTCGTTTTCATGTTTTCATAAAATATGCTAAGTATGGTAGAGACCATACTTAGTTAATTTTCTTTATAGCCGAGAGCTACCTAACTATTTTTAATACTTATTATTATCGATTTAATTATTTCTCAATATTTATTATTATGAGTTCAATTTTTTTAATATTCATAATTAAGGGCCTACTCTAATAATTTATTTTTTTAATATTCGTAAAAGTGTCCACTTTTTTGTCAATATTTTTTTCTAACATTTGTTATTAAAGGCTCGACCTATTTTTTTAATAGTTTCATACTTTTAAAATTAAATTTATTTTTTTTAATATTTATTTATTATTATAAGTCCAATTTTTCAGTACTTCATAGAGGTTAATTTTTTTCATTGTTATTATTAGCATACTCTTAAATTTTTTAAATCATTGTTATTAGGGACCTACTTTTTTTTTACATTTGTTATTATGGAGTTGCCCTTAAAATTTATTTTTTTCAACACTTATTATTATGAACAATTACTTAAATAACGATATGTAACCACAACAATGACTATTATGCAATGGTAACGAATCATCCGAAACCGCGATATCCACAATCATTATGCCCACAATAGCATATGTTATTAAAAATTCACAATTACGATACTCGCAAAGATAGTAATCTTACCCTTTATGTTCGCAATAACGATAAATGTAATCTTTTTTTTAATGGCGTACTAAGATCGTCAAAATCCCAAAAAGGGGCATGTGGCTCAAATGTGGCCTTTTCACCTTATAATGACTACTATTAGAGGTAGATCAGGAAACTATTTTATACATCTCTTGAAAACAAGAGCTGAAGCTGGCTAACATCAGTTGTCTTCGTGTTCCACAGTGGAGAGGACAATAGACCTGACGAAGTTGAAGAGCATTGAAATTTAACTTCAAAAGCTAACATCAGTTGTTCTTTTAGGTCCTTCATCTGTATTGGTTTAACAAAATAACCCCAGCTGCTGTTATTTTCTAGGCCCTTCACAACCTGAAGGAATAGCATCGGTAATATTGCTGAGGGTATACTTCAACAAATAAAAACGAAATGGACCAAATGATATGATTTTCAAATTAAACGAAGAAAATTGTACAAAATTTAAACGAAATTTATCAATCGTATAATCTACCAGGATGTTTTTTTAAAAGAGACACTACCCAAGATTTTGTTAGTTAAAGAAAACACAAAACGAGCAAAAATATGAATAGAATAGCAAAAAATTAGACCCCAAAAAAAAAAAAGAACGCTTTGGCAAATGGTTCGAACCTGCGACACAAAAACTAATTTAGGTACTAAAACGGACTAAAATTAATAATCTAGGTACAAAATGTGTAGTTTACCCAAAAAACAATTTACTACAAACCAGAACCAGATCTGCAGAAATGTGCCATTTTCTGCCAATAAAAGTGGGTGCTCTGTAAGGAAATGTCAAGAAAATAGAAAATATAATGTACAGGGATGGGATAACCATTTTGTTTTTTCTTATTTAGGGCTGCATATTATGCCATGTAAATAATTAAAGTTTGAATCTTTAAGTTTGCTTAAAGGATCTAGGGCTTCATACCATTAAACCATGCTGAAGGCTGACAATGAAGTGTCTTGCTTTCCATCCATTCAAGGTTTTCTTCTTCCTCGTGAATAGAAGCCAAAGCAACAGAACCTATGCTTTCTCCATTTACTCAACTTCTCAACATCACCTACACCATTTGTCGTGAAGGTTTCGTTTCCATGAGGATTCAAACCAACTTGGTTAGTCTCCACTGGTATTATCACGTTTCGCTGAGGCGATGCGGGTGCTACTTTCTTATGGTTTACTTCCCTTGGCAAAGAATTTGATCTTGCAGACCTGCAAGTACATCATCCGTAGGCCATAAACCCATCGGTTGCAAGTGTAATTTGGTTCGGTATGCGAATATCTTAATGTTATTACCTTGTGTCATTATTGTCATTGCTGTTCTTCAAGTCATCCAACGTCATGTCCGGATTCCCGACCATTTCGGAGCCAGCATCAGGACCAACCTCCGCTTCTAGAGGAACATTATCTTCTGCAGCATAAGTTGTGTCTTTTACATCACCGTCTTCGATATTAGGAGTTCCTTCATCAGAGAAACTAGAAGATCTGCTTCGGACATTATTAAATCTGTATCGTCGTACTATTGAAATGGCCTGCTCCAATGTTCGTAGAGCTTCATCCACCTCTGGACGAATAGGAGTCTTTTGTTTAGCACTTACACCATTCGAACCCGCAAATTTATCGGTTGAAGGTTGATTTGCAGCTGTAATGCCCTCATCCAGGCATGTACTCTCTTCAGTATTTTCTTCTTCCTCAATTTCACCAAAAGCTTTTCTCTTTCTGTTGTTTACTTTCTTCAGTGGAGATTCACCGGCAGGGTCATTAGCATGAACCATCATCGGGTCCGCATCATCAGTATTGTCCTGTAGGTCTTCAATTACATTTTCATTAGGCAAAATATCAGGTCCACTTTTGAGCTCTTGTGCTTCAAGAACTTTGCCTGATTTGTTATCGGAGTAAAGCTTTTCACGTATCGGACAAAACAGAGGCTCTCGCAAGGCCTTGCTGTAATCTTCTTCGCTATTAGTGACAGAAGCCACTGTCTGTAAAGCATTATAAATTCAGAACGTGAGAGACTAATTGCCAGGATGGTAATAATCAGCATCAGGAAAAATGAAGTTCCTAATCTTAAACTACACGAGGGAAACTAAGATGTCATGCCAGAAGAATGCATGACCTTTTGATAGAGTTTGAAACCGTTTCCGATGAGCTGCCTTGCGATAAAATTTATAAGGGACGGAGGGACAAAATCCAGCTTCATATCCATATTTGCTATTGTCCTACAAAAGCCAGCAACCTTTTAATATCAAGAGAAGAACATGACTGTTATCCTATTCAAATGTGACAATTCAAAGAATCACAACTTACCTAAAGTAGCTTCTTCCACTGTTCACCTTCTGCAAAGCAAAGCCTCCGACTACATCAATCCTTACAACATCCTTTGCTTCGGGGATCCTGTCGTTAGTGAACCCATGTGTTGCTCTATCAATATTTCTCACATCTGAGATCTAAAACCACAAGAACATATGGAATATTTAGATGAATTTCCAGTCTATGCGAAGAAAGTAAATTGCAAAAGAAGCGAAACCATATTCAAGTCTTTGAAGTGACCACCGTGTTCACGAGAATAACAATCAGATCATCTTGGAAGTACTGAAAGGAAAAAAAGTGTACTAGAGCCTCCCTAGCTGACAGTGGCCATGCAACCTTCACCCTTTCTTCCGGAAATACAAAAACAAGTATGCAGATTACAGTTTCAAACTTCAATGTATTACAAAATATAAGGAAACATATTTAATAAAATGTAATTGTTCTAGGCTTGACAAACCTCACTAGAGCTATTTGTTCACCAAGTCTGATCTTTCTCACACAGGTGGAATTAGTTACTTTTAAAGGTGGAAAGCTAGACTGAGGCCACCTAGGAAGAGTAAAAGAAGATTAGTATTGAACACATTTTCAGTTAAATTTGATGAAATCCTAAAAAATTCAGCCATCCTAAGTTTAAGAAAAGCAATTAAAACATGACAATGACCTCGAAACAATAACTTCGACTTTTAAAATTCTAGATGATGCTGACCATAAGAGTTCAAAAACAAATAGTAGCATTTCAAATGAAGTCATATTGCTACTGCTCCATGGTTCAGAATCAGATCCAAAAGTAAACAACTATAAAATTAAAGAGAATTTTTTTCAACAACACATGACCAAGATCATTGATACGCACTATAACTCACCAGATGATATAAAAAAGAATGGAAGCATGCAGGCTACACTGTTTTCCCAGTCAATAAATAGTGTCAATTCTATATTGGAATCAAGTGGAACACCAGAAATAATTCTCACCATTTCTTGTAGAGGGCTGACTCCCAAGAGATACACAGACCTGCAATGAAGTTCCTGATGAAAAAAGTTTCATATACCACGGCCGGTACTTAAAAGTCTTGAATTAATTGCAATTGCATAATTGTTTGCTAATGATTTAGGATTAAGCTTAAAACAATTAAACATGATCAGGACTTACAAACATCCAAAGGTCCGTCTACATAGCCTTCAACGAGTAATGTATGAAAAGGGGTACCATGAGGTCCTTCACGGTACATAACACGGAACTCTTCGTTATCATGCTTCAACTGTCAAAAGAAGGTTGGCCATGCATTTCAGAACATAGAAAATTTCATTCCACTAAGATGTGCTTGATAAATACCAGCTAATAGAGCATACTTTCCATTGACCATGTGATGATGTCTCACGGGATTCTGACAGTTGATGATCATCAACAGAAGTACTCCTCAACATGTCGAGAAAATTGGATACTTCCCGAGCCCTTTTATCCAATAAATGTTCACTAAACTCTGTTGACCAAAAAGAAGGAAAACGTTTGACAGTATATACTTGAGAACAAACTCTAAATGCAGTTAACTAAGGTTCATCGAGGGATTAAAAATACACACATGGAAGCTTAAACAGAAAAAACTGGAAATTAATGCTCTAAAACCTTCTTTCTCATCTTGTGCACATTGTAAAATCTGATTCTTGACAAGGGTTTTAAGCGTCACAGGATCGGTCAGTTCGGCAGAAGACAGTATTGTCCAGCCTCTCTCTGTAATGAGAGATTGTCTTCTTCTTTTCCATGTTTACATCTATATGAAAACAGCATCCAGCTCCCACTCAAGCACTCCAAGGATCAACTAAAAACCAATTTCATAAATACATGCATTAATTGATGACAGCCTCAAAGACAAATCATGAACAAAATTGATCTCTATCTACAGAATGTACAACAGTAAGACGAAGCCATTAAAAGCTTCTCCAAAACGTTCATATCTCTAACCTCATAAGATCAACAGAATGAAAGGAAAAACAGGAGCTTTGCAAGGAAAGTTGAAGCACAGGAAAGAAAGAAGAGTTGAAGTAAAAGCAAGCAAGCAAAGAAGTTGAACTTACACGAAGCTCAATGAAAACCAAATCAAACCAAAAACTGAGAATTCGTTCACCAAGATCAGAAAAGGAGAATCCCGCAAACCCAGATTGCAGTTCTCGATGAAAAGTTCACTTAATCTATATATCTTGATCGTGTTAAACAAAGCAAGGAACGACAAGAAGCCACTTTGATTCGAGACAGCCTACGCTCAAAATCAACACACTCCTTTTTCTTCTCGGGTATACTCGATACACGCCAGTCGCCAGAAATCACTACATCAAAAATTAGACCTTTGTTTCCTCTAAACAAAAATTTTAAAAAAATGTTTCTTTTTTCTTTTTTAATTTGCATAGGACACGGGTTTTCGGAAAGCTATGAAGGTGGGTCCCACCAGCACTTAAACATTACCGAATCGTTTTATTATTTTATAGTTTTATATGCACTTTAAAAATAATTATATTATAAATAAATCTAGTTATACTAAAAAATATATTATAAATAAGTATTTAAAGTATATTAATTTTATATTTAAGTATTTAAATTATTTTTGATTAAAATAAATAAATAAATATATATATATGGTTACATTTTCATAAAAAATAAATACTTAAAAGTTCTTTTTTATCAATATAGGTATTTAAAATATTTAATTTTTTTTCATTTAAGTATTTAAAGTATTCTTTAATTAATGTTATGTTTTAATTATTTCATAATTTAAATAAAAAAGATTAAAAGTTTTAAACACTTATTATGATAAAAAAATATTTTAAATATCTATTTAAATATTTATTTTAATTAAAAATATTTTATATATTTAAATAAAAATGCGATACACTTTAGTATGTAATAAGGAGAAAATTAAGACATGTAATAAATTGGACTGACGTGGCATAGTCATGTCCATAAGCTAGAAAGTTGTCAGCTTCTGCTATCCTAATGGATATTGACATTTACGGCCTACACGTGTCGAATTTAGGTTTATTCTATTTTTCTACTATATTTCAGATTTTACTTGATAAGATAAAGGGGTGATTCTATTCTGCTATAATCTAATATAATTCTAAAAAATAGTGATTAACATAATTAAAAATATGATAAAAATTATAATATTTTAAATTGAATGTAGCTTAAAATGATACAGTTTTTTTAATATTTTTAGTTCAATCAAAAATATTAAAAAAATATTTTAAGTTATATTTAATCTAAAATATTATAATTTTTATCATATTTTCGATTATGATGATTATTATTTTTAGTCTTAAATAAAATTATAATCCCTTAAACTTTCTCATTGGATAATTAGTACATTTGTTAAATAATCTTGTTTTGTAATGATATATGAATAAAAGATAAAAGATAAAGGATAAAGTATATAAATAATCTAACTATAGAGTGCTGCTTTGTTGAACCTATCGACTATTGAAAGTTACAAAATAATCACATGACTATTCATTATCTTTTAAATCTGTAGCGTTTGATTCGCTGGAATGTTTCTGAAGAAATTAGAATTTGTGAAGGAATTGGAATCCAATTCCATATTCTGTTTGGTTGGCAGGAAATTGAATTGAAATCCAATTACATATTCTGTTTGGTTCGCAAACATGTTAGATGAATTTGATTTCAGTAATATAAAATGACAGAATTGCCCTTCTTGTTTTTTTTTGCTTAATTTTAGTTTGTTTTATAAATTACATGTAGGAATATATTATAAAAATTAAAAAAAAATTAAATTGGAAACCCGACCCGACCAAAATAAAGTTTCACCCGACCCGACCCGAATATATGAATTAGAAACCATACCCGAAATAATAAAAAAATTATTTTTATTCAATAAAAATAGTGATTTAATTGGAAAAAATATATATATAGAGGGGTATTATTGTAATTATTCCTAAATATAGAGGGGTATTATTGTAATTATTCCTAAATATATAAGGTAAAATTATATATTTTTTGGGTCGGGTCGGGTATTTTTCACCCTAAACTCAAATCCGACCAGACCTGAATATCACACTTAAAAAAAACCGACCCGACCCGAATATATGAATTAGAAATCCGACCCGACCCGATCCGAAATAATAAAAAAATTATTTTTATTCAATAAAAAGCAGTGACTTAATTGAAAAAAATTATATATAGAGGGGTATTATTGGAATTATTCATAAATATATAAGGTAAAATTATATATATTTTCGGGTCGGGTATTTTTCACCCTAAACCCGAACTCGACCCCGACCCGAATATCACACTTAAAATAACTGACCCGACCTACCAAAATAAAGTTTCACCCGACCTGACCCGACCCGAATATATGAATTAGAAATCTGACCCTAAATAATAAAAAAATATTTTTATTCAATATATGAATAAGTTACCAAAAGATTGATGAGAGTAGTATGATCAAATTTCAATTCCCTCCAACAAGGGAATTGAATTCCATCCACTTTCCCTCATTTGATGGAAAGTTGAAGCGATGAGGCAATTCCCTTGGGAAACTTGAACCAAACATGGGAAAGTGGTGGAATTGAATTCCAATAGTACGCCCGAAGAATAACCTATTACCCAAATCCAATTTAAACTTTTAGAATTGGAACTCAATTCCACCTATTCAAATCAATGTTCGTGTCTATTCTATAATATGAATTTCTTTATATTAATTGTTTATTTTATTATTAATACCTACCATAAATTTTTTTTTGCTTTCACTCCATACGAAAAAAAATCTATTATTAATATATACGTATCTACCTTAAAACATATTTCTGGATTATCGCTTACCCAACAATTGTTGAGTAAAGAAAAAACTATAACTCCCGGCAATTAAAACTTAATGTAATTTTTTTACCAGTGAATCAAAACCTTAATTGTCACAGATTATTACTGTCAAAGCTGACTAAGAAAGTAATCAAGTTGTCTTTGCTGAGCTTTTAAGATAAAAGTTATCTTTTTATTGCACTCCCAATTCCAAGGTTTTACCTTCACTAATTCGGACCATCCCGTTTCACACACCTAATTTTGGTGACCGAGTCTTCCAACGAGAATTTTTTGTATTTACGAGGACTTGAAGTGGAGACTTTGCTTTAGTAATATCAAATTACTTACCCTTTAAACCAACCCGTGTTGGTTTTTACTCTTTATTCTTTTACTCTTTTGAAAAGTGAAAAAATTGTTGGTTTTTAGTCCCCTACTGATTGGTACCATCACCAACTTTGTTTAAACTTTTACCCTACAATTATGTTAAAAGTTAAATGAAACCTTTTTGATTTACATGCATTCAACAAAGAAAAGTAGTAAACACACAGAGGAAAGCAAAAGTAAAAAAGTAATAAGCATTATACAAGTTGAAGGAAATTTGTACATAATTCATCATACCTTCTAATAGGACCTGAAAGCTTGACACAACCACCGTTTGGTTCTAAGTGAAGAAAAAAGGATGCAATTATGGTAAGTAGACATTTCAGCAGCACACAGGGCATATAACCAGTCCATTCTCATTACAATCAGGGCAATTCATGCACAATTCATCGCCTTCATTTTCTGAAAAAACCTTGCGGCTCCCATTGCAGTTTGAGCAGACCAGGAACCTGATGTTGGCACAATCAGTACACATGCTGCTTGAAGGTATCCCTTCCAGGAGCTTCTTTAGCTTTCCTTGTTCGTGAAGTCGAAAAACTTGGTCGGCTCCTCCTATGTCTCTTCCCTTGATGAACAGCTTTGGGGGGACCACCCTGCCACCATATATCCTCCACAGTTCTTCCCTGAACCTCATGTCCATTGAAACATCTCTCTCCTGGACCAATATCTTGAAACTGTCTAAAAGAAACCTTATACTGCTGCAGTCTTCGAATGTTTTTCTGATTCCCCTCAGACTTGTCGTGTAGAAAACCACTGAATCTTCTCCTCCCGGTGGACATTTCTCTTCGAAATCTGATAACTCTGGATGTTCTTCATTCTCCCCTTTCACTTCTTGTGTGCTACGCTCATCATCGATAATGGTCTTTGAAGAGATTGGAACTATGCCTTGATCGCCAACATCGAACTCCGACAACTCGGTTTCTTCATCCTGTTGATCTTTAAAACTGACTACTGGTTCCGGAACATTGATCTTTTTGCTTTTGCAGTCTTGCTCTTTGTGAACCGATAGGTTAAGCTCAAGGACTGAGCCCTGTTTGGAAGTGGTGATAGTATGAGTTTGGGTTTCTTTAGAGATCTTCCCTTGAGGCCTTTCATCTCCTTTGACAGTGATGAGATACAAGAAAGCCCCATAAATGCATTGGAGCCACTTGAAGAAATTGAGAAGGGAAAGCATGGAAGGGAATGGAGTTTCGAATGAGAAAGGCAAAAGAGAGTAGATGTTGGTGAGGAAAATTGGATGATGAAGATTCTCTTATGGCAGGAAAAATGGAAACTGTAAAACTGAAAAGGGTGTTTGCTGGTTGCTTTTAAAAGCTTTCAATGATCACCGAAGGAGTGGGGTACCCCTTCCACTCGACCTGACCAAATAACCAACATTCTTGGTCGCCTCTTCATGGCATAAGGGGAAGAGCATGCATCATACAACCAGGCCCCTACCCTACCTGCAAATAATTCACCGAGATAATCCAAGTTATACATGCATATCATGAATAAAGATAGTAGTAACATACAATATACATGTTAGATACATGGATAAGAAAAGGAAATGCATTGTAACATTCAACTATCAGCCACAGATGATGCCTACCAGACGCTAAAATCAAATTCAGTGCATGTCAACTCATGCTTGTTTGCAGTGAACATCTTCATCTTCAGAGTGTGTGAACCCTGCACAAGGTTAAAGATCTTCAGAGGTATTGTTCATAGGGGTACAACCAAACGCTAAAAACACCATTGATTTTGGTTGCATAACTACAAATACCATCGTCCATCATCGGACGAGACACAAAGCTATCATGTAATTAGCCAACAATAAATGGCGTCGAGTTCCGGACTACAAGACAGCCTGCAAACCAATGTTGTATATACAAACACATACAGTCCTGAGTCCCCAGCATCAAATCATAACACCTTGCATCAAGTAACGAATAGATTCACTGGAAGATATTGATTAGTTTACCTGTTGTTCTGACGTTGAACAGTGGGAGGCGAACTTAAACTTAGGGGGAACGAACTAAAATTCCGAGTGGCGAAACAGATTTTCAATAAGAAATAAATAGAAAAAATTTAAAATATATGGTAATTTTCAGATAAACTCCTCTCACAATGTATAGAAAGGCCTCTAACAAATTCATATGACCGTCCAGAATGAATCTAAGATCTGACCACTAGATCTGTCTAACTCATTAGTATATAAATAGTCATAATTATACATCTAACACCACCGGTTAGGGCCACTATAAATACTCCCGGTCAAAACTGATAAAATGGCTTAACCTTCCGCAACTTAAAGACACTCTTATTTTTCATTATCATCACCGTCCTCGTGTCCAGCTCTTTCTTTCACAAAGAAACATCGACCAATAGTCGTTCTTTCACTGACCGCGACTCTTCGCTCAAACCAAAAGGATGAACCGCTAATGACCGACGAGACCAATTTATTTTTGTGAACAATTGAAATGATGAACGTGGACAAATCTCATGAACCAGAGAATCGGTCAAGATTTGTCTCAAAAATCAAATTGAAAGGTGTATTATTATACATAATTCATTTTTATTAGAAAATAAGAACCTAATTAAAAATAATAATATAAAAAAGATATTATTATAATTATCTCTAAATATATAAGATAATTATAATATTATATCAGCTGAGATTTTATCACCAACCTCATCCTTTAAAGATCATGACCAGACTCGCACCGAATTAAAACTTTTAAGATAAAAAATCAACTCAACCAAACCGAGTCGAGTCAAAATTTGTTGAATACAAATGAAATGATCATCCATCCTTATAATACTACTAATAATACTATATGATTCAAACATGACTAGCTAAAGCATTAACTAACTTATCTCAGTGTTTAAGTAATTGTTATTATTTTTTGAGGTTACGGGTTTGAGCACTAGCATCTGCGACAGGGTGATTGAGCGTTCATTATCAAATGATTAAGAATATTTTGAATAAATATTATTTTGTAATCACTTTAATTAATAAAAAATATGAGTACTTAAATCTATCTCTTTTAAGTTGTGGATTCGATACTAATTAAAAATGAAACTTCTTTCCTTCTTTCAAGTAGGAATTGTTAAAAAAAAAGGTCAGGTGTAATTTTAAATATGACAAGTAAAATAAAACTAATGGTGAAAGGACCATCTTCGGACCTTATTTGAAAACAAAAACTTTGGACCTTATTCTCAAATTTATAGATTCGTCACTGATTTTACTTTGATTAATTTGGATCGACTCAAATTGCATATATAATTTTGATGGGTGAATCTCTAACGATAATCTTTTATACACACAAATACTCGAACTCACTTGCCATGAGTCACCCAGTAGGTGAGTCATCAATCTTTAAGCTCATATTTTATGATATTAAACATGCCATGATTTTTTCAATAATAAAACAATTTTTTCAATAAAAAACTTTAAATTAAGTACCTTGATATATATAATCCATTTGAATCGAATACTCACTTGCAACGTCACGTGGACTTTTTATTATTAGTGCACATTGATTTTTCTTTTTTCTGTTTTGGTTGGAGACTAAATTGATAGTCTTTTGCCAGATTGATTCGTGATAGATACGGATTGTAAAATATTTTAGAGAAAATCGCCTCAGTGACCAAAAAAAGTTATAATATACGATTTTAACCAACTTTTTTTGGATTTGCCAAAATGACCAATAAAATCGCAACGCGAAATAAAAATCGCAACGCGATCCCCAGAATCGCAAATCAGTTTCCAAAATCGCAACGCGATTCTTGAAAATCGCAATGCGATAGTACAAATTCGCATTGCGATTTTCCAAAATCGCAACGCGAATATGAAAATCGCAACGCGAACACATAAATCGCAACGCGTATCCGTAAATCGCAACGTGTATCCGTAAATCGCAACGCGTATGGGTAAATCGCAATGCGTATCCGTATATCGCAACGCGTATCCGTAAATCGCAACGATAATCCGTAAATCGCAACGAGAATCCGTAAATCGCAACGCGATATTTAAAGCGCCATTATAATCGCTACGCGTATTTTATTTTCAAATTACAAAAACGAATATTAAGACAAAATCCCGTAATCGCAACTCATAACCTAAAACCTAAAATCACAACTCAGTCCCATCTCCATCTCTCACTCTCTACGGCGAAGAAATCCGTCCCCATCTCCGAATATTTCCGTCCCCATCTCCGGCGAAATCCCTCACAACCATTCACGGTCAGAAATCCCTCACAATATTCAGAAATGGAAAATCAACCTCCGAGGGTTAGTTTTTTTAATTATTTTTATTTTGAAATGTTTGCATTATTGTAGGTTTTTCATATTGAAACTGATGATAAGTTTACTGGTCATTTCAATAATAGATTAACCATTTCACTTAGATTTCATTTCGCGTTACGATTCTGTCGTTGCGATTTTCAAGTTAGTATTTGTCTTTGTCTTTGTTCTGTCTTTTGGTTGAAGTAATGCAATCCATTCAAGTTTCAATTTGCAGAAGAGTCGCAACGCGAAATGACAATCGCAACGAGATAATCGCAACGCGAAATGAAAATCGCAACGAGAGAATCGCAACGCGAAACCAAAATCGCATTGCGATTTTCATTTCGCGTTGCGATTCTCTCGTTGCGATTTTCATTTCGCGTTGCGATTGTCATTTCGCGTTGCGATTCTCTCGTTGCGATTTTCATTTCAACCCAAAGACAAAACAGTGTTGCAAATTTTAGTTTCAAGAATAAACTACTACTTTTTAGTTTCAAGAAATTTTTAGTATATCTTCACAGCGTTGCGATTCTTTCGTTGCGATTTTGGTTTCGCGTTGCGATTTTAAGTTGCGATTTTCATTTCGCGTTGCGATTTTGGTTTCGCGTTGCGATTTTAAGTTTCGTGTTGCGAAAGTAAACTATTTCTTCTTCTGCAAATTGAAACTTGAATGGATTGCATTACTTCAACCAATAGACAAAACAAAGATAAATACTAACTTCAGGGTATTAGTTTGAAACATATTTTTCTTTGTTATCTGATGCATTTTGTGAACTATGATAGAATAATGACTTGGGTGAATACAATGCAAGTTTGAAACATATTTATCTTTGTTTTCACTGTTTAAATATCATGTCTGTTTATTTACTGATTTTTGTATTTAATTATTTAGCGGCCCGATAGAGTGGATGCTTTACGTCGGGTTATGCTTGCACGACGGAGTTCACGCATCAGACAGCGTGCACGTGCTATTAAGTCTCCGTACACCCCAATAGTGCGAAGACACCGCAAGAAGAAGCCCGACTCGCCTGTCATCCCTCAAGAGTCCACTCCTATCGTTGAAGAGGCCCCCCCTATCATTCCTCGAGAGTCCCCTCCCACCGTTCAAGAGGCCACTGTCATCATTGAAGAGGTCCCTCCCACCATTCAAGAGCCCGATTCACATGGCGTCATATGTAGGCTTCTTGAGAAACCCTCTGACGTGCCGGACATGATGGATTCAAGTTGGCTCTCGTATGAGTTACCGGCCAGTACCATACCGGTATCTGAAGAGGAGAGGGAACAACTACCGGACACAATTCTGGATAACACCCTTTGGGCTAAGACCGCTGTTGATTTTTATCTACATGAGCAGAGCCAGGGGTGTTTCACTGACATATGCAAGCTCACCGATGATATCTATTTGTTGCTTGATCGGTCTTGGTGGGGCGTATTATTAGGGGTCGAAGACAATGGCTATTTCGATGGGGGGGTAAGTCTTATATTTTTCTTATATTTCAATTTGATTAATTTTTTTTTAATTTATGTAAGTCACTAATATATGTCTTTTTTTGTAAAACAGCATATCGATGCGTGGGTGACACGTCTTCTAATAATAAGAAAACTTAAGAAAAATAAAATATACGATATACAATTATGCCGACGTCTTTTCACGCCGTTCACTTGAAGAATGCACGAGATGAATCATTTGATTTGGGCAATGGACAAGCTAAACTTTATCCTGCATGGTGGGAGGTCGATAAGGTTAGTATTTATTTTAGATTGAGTTTAAAGGTTTTATGAAATAAGTGCGTAAATGAATGAATTATTACTTATGATTGCAGGTGTTTATCCCTGTTTTGGAACGTAAACATTGGATTCTCGTCGAGCTTCAGCTCCCATCCCTTAAGACAATAGTGTATGACAGCATGATAAATTACATATCATTGGCTGATTTAAGAGATGTTATTAAGGGATGGAGCTCTCATTGGCTAAATTCTTGGATGCGATCA